CAAGTTTGAATCAAAGCCAACTTTTAGGGGTTGATATTCTAACCAGGCTCCGAGTGCAGACTGTGCAGTCAATATAGGAAATGAATGGAAGATTTGTTGCCTTTAGAAGTTGCCCAGTTGCTGAGGTGGCAGACCATTCATATGAAGAGAATCCACTATATATTTACCAGAGTGTATTGTTTACCGGAGATTATGCAATTAATTTCTTTCCACAATACTCATTTGGTTTTCTTGTCCTTTTCATGAGCTTTTATATTGCTTCCTAAAACAACAGTAAGATCAATGCTGTACTTTTACTGTGCAAATAGATTGAATAATTATATAAAATATGAAAGAAATCACACTACAGAGAGTATTTAGAAGTGTTTTAGGGGTGGGGGGGAGGGAAGTAACCAATAAGATGAGTGTGGCGCAAGTATTAGATTTAACAGGTGACCCTTTTGGATGGATAGATGTCAGTGGTTCTTTCAGCTTGTCCCCCTTGTTTCTTTGGCAAATGACACGTGGACAGTGTTGCCAGCAGAAAGCCTCTTCTCTCTTAGAAGAGGTTGAAAGCACAGCTTAGGTTTTCAAAGTTGCATCCAAACAAAGATTTCTGTATCTTCTGTATCTCCTTTGGAAAGACAAGCCCAAAGTGGAGATGCTTGTCCATCATGCACACCCTCACTTTTGGAGTAAGCCAAACTCAGCATGTCAGCACAAATATAGTGTGGTGGTGGAGGGATGTTGGGGTCGCTTTGCAGCCATAGAACCTGGGCAATTTGCAGTCACTGAGTTGACCATTAAGTCCTCTGTATGCCAAAGTGTTCTAGAGGCCATCTGCCTGACAGCTAAAGCCTGGCCCATGCATCAGAACAATGATCCTGAGCACAGCAACAAATCTGCAACAGAATGACTTAAAAAGAAAAGAAGGTGTTGCAATGAAACAGTCAAAGTCTACTCCTCAATCAAAGTGAAATGCTGTGGTGGGACCTTAAGAGAAATGTGAAAAAAGTCATACAGAAAGAAAATATGGGCTAGAGTTCACATAACTGTACATTTAAGAATATTACAAGCTTCATTTATTAATTTCAATTTCAATTCAATTCAATTTTATTTATATAGCGCCAAATCACAACATAAGTCGCCTCAAGGCGCTTATTTCATTTAATTACATTTTTTAATCAGATGTTGGACACTGGAGTCAATTGTAAATTACCTAAGAACTCAAAGAGATCAGAATAGGCCTGGCTCAGGAGTCAATCTTATGCCTAATGAGATGCTGGGTTTTTGTTGTTGTTGTTGTTGTTGTTTTAATTTGTGGATGTTGAGTTTACCGAACTGCAGAATTTCACTCTTAAATGTTTTGCTATCAGCCTTGTTTGTACTTTGTCCTTTGGGGGCTGTTGTATTAAAGGATGTAAGCCTTTTCTCCCTGCGACTGTGAACTGGATAAGCAGTTAAGAAAACTGACGGATGGAAGTCTTTTTCATTAAGAAAAAAAAAACACAGAGGGAGGTAAAGAAAAAATTATTATTATTTTTCCTTGCCCAATTTTATTGTTATTCAAAAATAATCTTTATCTGTATGGCTCCTTTAGTGCAGGTTAATGTTGACACTAATGGTTAAACGTAATCAGCAATACAATATTATTATCTCACAAACAGCTTCTTCCCCTGAGCCATTCAGAGTGCCAACAAACACGATCCCCCACCCCCCTCTCCTCCCTACTCACCTCACCAATCTGAACCACGGTGTTAGCACCCCTCATCACTCAGGCCACGCACATACAGACTCTATACTCAGACCAGGTTCTTTGCACTGCTTCCAACACTTTGTTCACCAATTTGTGTCTTTTCTATGGTGTGCCTTTCTCTTATTTTGTGTATAGGAGTCTCAGCCATTGCCTTGAGAAGGAAAAGTGGAAGAGCTTCTAGGTCAGTTATGTAGGAATTTTCCAACTGGGATGAAACCCCAGGGCAGATGCAGAACATGCCATGGAGGATTTGTCTCTAGGCTAGATTGGAAATGGTGGGGACAGAGTGGGAAAAGTCTTCTGAGACTTCCTCTGGTGGAAAATGGATGAGTGGATTGGGGGAAGTGTTCTCTCTAAACAGAGACAGACTGCTGCTGTGATGATACGGCTGTCACTATGACTTTAACCATGACTAAGATTTATTAGTTATGATTCTTGCTCTGATTATTTTTTTTAATGAGTCTGACTCTGTATGTATGCAGAGATGGTTTATTGTGTTGAAGCTACTGTATGTCGGCAACATAATGAAGCACACAGGTTCAGACAGTAACAGCTGGATGTGTCCGTGGATGCCACCACATCAGCTGCTGGATGAAGCAGCTGCAGCTGTGTTCACAATCAGTAGCTGCACACTGTTGGAGGCAATCCTTTTAAAATGAGGAGTGAGCACAAAATCCACAAATAATAATATTAATAATAATGGATTGCATTTATATAGCACTTTTCGGGGCCCTCAAAGCGCCTTACAATTCCACTATTCATTCACTCTCACATTCACACACTGGTGGAGGCAAACTACAGTTGTAGCTACAGCTGCTCTGGGGCAGACTGACAAAGTGTAACATTAACCATTCTTTGCAATGTATCAGCAGATTGCTTCCCTGAACGTGGTACACAGTACCACAAACT